CGATACACATAGAATGTTTTTTGAATTATTCAAATCGGACGTTCCGTTCTCTCGAAAACTGAGTTTTCTGAATTACCATAATTGCCCCGGATCTTGGAAACAGTTAGACTGTACTCAATCAATACGAATCGAATGTTTTTTTAATTATTTAAATCGGTTGATCCGTATTCGCAAAATTGTCGACGAAAAATTACGATACGGGAGGTTTCAGCAATTTTCCTTAAGACACGGTGCCACGCACTATTAATTTTGATTGTAACTAAATTTAAATAGCTCATACGATAATTTTGAAATTCTATGTTTATAGCCCCATCCGATATAGAATATTTTTAACTTTCCGTAGGGCAAGTTATAGTAATCGCAAAAAAATCGAAAATGAAAATTTTTATATATCTTTACGTTTCAGAGGTTTCTGAACATTTTGGCATACCTTAGAAAAAATGGATGTATGTGTGTGTGTGTGTATGTATGTATGTATGTACGTGTGTGTATGTATGTGCGGATACAAATTTTCGTCGACGATTTCGGGAACACGGATCAACCGATTTGAATAATCCAAAAAACATTCGATTTGTAATGATAAGGAGACGTGCTGATTAGTTTTTGGCAAAGGCAGGTCTAGCCGTTCCAAAGATACGGGGCAAAAAGTGCCGAAAACGGTAACTCAGTTTTTAAGAGAACGGAGTGTCCGATTTGAATAATTTAAAAAACATTTTACTTGTATTGACAAGATGAAGAATTGATCAAATTTTCATGAAGGCAGGTCGAACGGTTTCGGAGATCTAATGAAAAAATAAGTATGAATTTGGTTTATAGTCCTATGGGTTCCGTACCAATGTTTACACGTTAGACGGCGACGCGGCGCTTACGCGCTTTGATATTTCGTCTTTATGCAGTTAAAGCAGTACGATTGCTTTGAAAAAAAGTTTAGATCTTCCAAAATATGTCAAAATAAAGGAAAAAAATTTTTTTCAAAAAAAAAAAAGAAATTTAAAAAAAAAACTTTTTTTAAAAAAGTAATTTTTTATCCAATTTATAGTTTCTCAAAAATCTTATTTTTTCGAAGTAAAATTTTTTCAAAAATGTTAATCGATTTAAAAAAAAAAAAATTTTGGTACGGGAAGTTCCAGCAATTTGCCTTAAGGCACGATGCCTTAATTGCCTTAAGACAGAATTCCACTTACAGCTAGTTTTATAATATCTTAGTCTTTTAATTGAAACAACATGCAAGACGATACGGTTCATTGATAATTCAGTATGGGCACATGGCGGACAAATGGCGGACAAATGGCATTAGATTGGAATCAATTGGGTCGATGATCCGCCCTACACAATTGAATGAATAGTCTTCCTTATGTTTTCAACTTTAGATCAGAACTCCACGATTCATAATTGAATTATTATTTTAATCAGTCATCATTTAAATCAGATTCAAACTATAACGCAATAAAAATTATCATGAGATTAATATGAATAATTAAAACAAACTAAGTGTGCCTTTAAGACAAGTTTTACTAACTTCCTCATATGTGTAAATAATCAACTAAATTCTTATCAATAAAATTGAAATTTTGCCACTACGAAATTTAAAATTTTTTGAAACCCATTATTACAAACTACATTATAAAAAAAAATACAATTAAAACACTTTCAATAGGTTTTATGATAAAATGTTTGTTAACCATGAACTCTATAATCATGATAGGATTCAAATAATTTAATTTCAAATAATTTCAAAAACATTCTAATAGTATTTATATGCTGATTATAGTTTTTGCAAAGGACTAGTCGTTTTGAAGTTAAGGGGCAAAAAGTGCCAAAAATGGTAATTCAGTTTTTGAGAGAACGGAGCGTCCGATTTGAATAATTCAAAAAACATTTTATTTGTATTGACGAACAACTGACGAAGAACTAATTAAATTTTTAGAAAGGCAGATGCAGCCGTTTCGGAAATCCTATAAAGAAAAGTAAAATGAATTGTCATTTGGCGGTCAAAAACGATCATTATAATGATCATGTCATGATCATGTCTATACACATGTGCACATAAAATTTTAAGGCTTTCTTGGAAAACTTAATCTTCGGTACAGAAAGTTCCAGCAATTCGGCTTAAGGCGCAATGCCATGCACTACTAGTTTAGAATTTTATCCGTGATAAAGAATGAATCTGTGCTATATAAATTTATAATTTTGATCTATTTTAATAAATGCGACCATTTTATAATTGAGACAGTTAATTTTGCTCGCGTTGCATTCTATAACAATTTCTCGTAATTGAATTTCTTAAAACAGCAAAATTATCAAATGTTTCAATTATAAACTTCCTATATATCTCATTTCAAAATAATCTTAAATCATTAAAATAATGACTAAATTGTTAGAAATCATATGAATTATCATGGTAACATGAAATGAAATATAATACATGCAATCTTGAATAACCTCAACCACAATGAATCACACTCAATGTAATCAACTCTCGGTAAAAATACCGTGATTTTATTCTAAACGACATCTATAGCATACCATTTTATTATATATGTATTAAGATATTTATATTTATGTTCAACATTTACAAGGAATTTACAAATCTAGTGGTGCAAGACATCGTGGTTTAAATTAAATTATTAGATCGTTTAAATTAGATTAAATATTTGAGGTATAAAAATTAACAAAAATCAATTAGATATTGATGGATGATTAGTAAGAATTGATTTAAATATTTTTAAACTATTATTATAAATACCGGGCAATTCAACACACATATTTTAGAGATCTAATAGCTTATATTTGAGTAAACATATATAAACACAACCTAATCCATATCCTTATCTCATATTTCACACAGTCAGCACAAGCCATATATGTTTTGAATCATTCTAATCGGATGATCCGTTCTCCCCAACATTTTTTCCTCTGTATTTCCCAAACGGCAGGACCTGCTTTTGACAAAAGCTGTTCAGCACGTTTCCCCGGTAATACGAATCGAATTGTTTTTGAATCAAGCGAATCAAATTGCAATGGATTCATGCTCTCGAAATCGTAGAAGAAAAATTGAATCTAAGTATATATATGCACACACATACATACAATCATTTTTTCTAAGGTATCCCAAATGTTCAGGAGGTCTTGAAATGTAAAAGAAAGTCAAATTTTCATTTTAAATTTTTTGCTATGACTATAACTTAACCTACGGGAAGTTAAAAAAGTATTTACCGATTTTTGGGAAACTAAAAACCTCATGTTATAAATTATAAAATTATTCTAAAAGCCTTCATATTGTTTTAAAAATGTATATACCCATAAAATAAATTTATATACAGAAAAGAAATGAATGAGGTGAGAAAGCGCAATGTGAGTTTACTGAAAATTATGTATAAAGTATTTGCGCTCTAAAATGAAAATAAAGATATTATAATACAAATTCTAGCAAACATGAAAATTATAGGAGTTGGCCAATTTCTGTGCCAAGCTTTGCCAATACGTCGACTATTGCGTTATATCGATACCTCAATTTAAAACAAGAGTCTTTATAAACTAAAATATAAATTTATTTATTTTTAGTAGTTATTTAAATCGAAAATGAAATTTTTTATATATCTTTACGTTTCAGAGGTTTCTGAACATTTTGGCATACCTTAAAAAAAATGGATGTATGTGTGTGTGTGTGTGTGTGTGTATGTGTGTGTATGTATGTATGTATGTGTGTGTATGTATGTGCGGATACAAATTTTCGTCAACGATTTCGGGAACACGGATCAACCGATTTGAATAATTCAAAAAACATTCGATCCGTATTGATAAGGAGACGTGCTGATTAGTTTTTGGCAAAGGCAGGTCAAGCCGTTCCGAAGATACGGGGCAAAAAGTTCCGAAAACGGTAACTCAGTTTTTAAGAGAACGGAGCGTCCGATTTTAATAATTCAAAAAACATTTTATTTGTATTGACAAGATGAAGAATCGATGAAGGTAGGTCCAGCGGTTTCGGAGATATAGAGGAAAAAGTAAAAAAATGAGCCATTTGGCGGTCAAAAATGATCATTAGACATATGCACATCAAATTATGAGACATTTTATAGAGATTTTAACAATAAGTATACATTTTGTTAACATTCCTATCGGTTCCGTACCAATGCTTTATATTTTGTCCCTATGTAGTTAAAGCAGTACAATTGCTTTGAAAAAAAAGTTCAGATCTTCCACAATATGTCAAAATAAAGAAAAAAAAAATTTTTTTACAAAAAAAAAAAAATTTTTAAAAAAAAAATTTTTTTAAAAAAAAATTTTTTTTAAAAAAATTTTTTTTTTCAAAAAAAAACTAATTTTTTGTCCATTTTATAGTTTCTCAAAAATCTTATTTTTTCAAAGTAATTTTTTTTCAAAAATGTTAATCGTTTTAAAAAAAAATAATAATTTTTGGTACGGGAAGTTCCAGCAATTTGCCTTAAGGCACGATGCCCTAATTGCCTTAAGACAGAATTCCACTTACAGCTAGTTTTACCCTTTAAAAATGTGGAATCATCAGGTACCATATCGAATTTATCTCCAAAAACACTCAAGAAATTATTGACTTTTTATAATAGACGAACTATACAAATCGAAACGCAATTTGGCTTTGTTTCAGACTCCTCTAGTTTTAAGATATTCGATAAACTCAAATTGAACCTTCCAATATATCATATTATAATTTTTCATTTTTTTATAAGTACATGGACTTCCGCATGAATAAGTGATTCCCAGATTCTATACTTCGGACAGTCTGATGTCAAGCAGTAATGACATTTCCTTTGCCGGGGATCACTATATCAATAAAAATTCATTTATACTTAAAGAAATTGTAATAATCAAATTTTTCACATAGGGATGCTCTACTGTCTATAAAACTACCGTAGTTAGGTCAAGACCATCACAACTCTATAAAAAACCCAAGTTGTAAACTTATATACAAGTATATAAGGAATACTTGATACATTGAATTACTACTAAATTTAAACTTTCAGGGGCGCTGTCAAAATGAAGAACCGAAGTTTGGCAGGGAATTGTGGTGTGGCGATTTTCTGCGTGGCCCTAGTGTCAATAGTAATTGCTTTTGCAACTCCTAGTTGGCTGGTCAGCGATTACCGAATCACCGGGGCAAAGCTTGATAAGTAGGTTTTACATAAATATAAAGTTCTTGATAATTATTTATCACTACAAATACTATAAGTAATAGTAAAAGAGGTCAACTTCAAGCAATTAAAGCGCACTTGCGATAAATCCTTAAACCATATTTTCCAACAAATGACTTAAATCAAACCTTTGGATGTGGCTTTCTTAATGTATTCCACATATATGAAATTTGACATTAATATTGAGTAACATTTCTAACAACAATGCATATAACTACAATAATCAAAGAAAAATATCAATCATCATAAAAAATTCTTGTAAAATTTATTTAATAAATATTTTTATTTATTTGAGCTTTTGCTGTACTAGATTTTATTTTACTCATTGACTAAAAAATCCTTTTATACATAACATTATTTCAGATTAGGACTATGGACACATTGTTTTCGATCACTCTCTGACCCGAGAGACGACTACCAAAGAAGATTTTTCGTAGGTTGCAGATGGGTTTACGACCCTTTTACTACTGGATATGATCAAATAAAAGGATATCTGCTTCCACGTAAGTATATAACATTATGAATATTTATAGAAAGGGCAATGATGAATTTATATCATAATAGAGATATGTGGTCTTCCTTGAAATTGAAACAGATTATGGGAATATTTTCTAGGAGTGGCCACTTCTTGAACTGATTCAATTAATATTCATTGTACTAAGAATGTATAAATGTTTATAACTATAAATAGTGGTTGGTGTAATTATTGTGAAACCTATTAACCTCACCTATTTATTACATATATTTTTCCGATGTATACACACACAAAGGTTAACTCGCTATTGATTATTATATATTCAAATCTTTTATAGAATTAATCACCGTTTTAGCAATACCAGTTTATATTTTAACAAGGAGTTGCCACTAGTTAAGCCAAATTAGGGAGAAGTTTCTGAGTGCCACACTTAAGGTTATTTATAATTAAATCAAAAAGTATTTTACGAAATGTTTTTTAAATTATGACTTATGTTAGATAACAGAGTTAGATATCAAATTAAGTTAACAAAAACGCAACCTTTACTGAAAAATAATTAATTCTATCAATCAAACTTTGGTAAAAAAATATGATTTCAAAATGTGGCACCTAGTGCCGGACATTTTAAAATAACATGAATTGAACACATATGTAGCTATTCCCACACTCTGGAATGTCTGCACATGTGTGTTTGAAGAATATTCTTAGATATTGCAAAAAAATCACTATTTATCCACCCTTTTGGCTTGGATACACCGATGCTCTCAGCTGGAGCATTCATTATAAGATTTTCATTCTTTGACTAGGAAATACGAAAAATGGGGGTATGTAGTGACCATTAGCATTCATACTGAACAAAATTAAATGATTAGAATAAATTACGTCAATTTTTACAAGAAATATCAATATGTTTACTATGGGACGACTTAGTGTCCGGTGCTAAGGAATAGGCATGTTCGTTCATTTGGTGGTTTCTACTAAAATTGTTTAAAGTATACAATATAATATATTTCGACCATTTTACGGATAACAATCAAGTACTACTTTTATCTTTGAATGCCAATCAAATGTAAATGTATAAATATACTAGAATTACTTCAATTGATATTTAGGCGACGCCTTGATTTTGCGCCTAAAACAGCAAACGGTTGCTCCAGCCGTGGCCGTGTGCGTCACACGTACACTGTACCTGTGTGCCCCCCGCGCCCCTTTCACTTATATTTTGAAATGAAAATATTTATACTCCCTTAAATAATACGTGTTTAATAGAGTGTGCGGTGCTAGGTGCCGTCCGGCGTTACGGGACTTCCCCCTATTTGATCGTATACTAGTTCGTATATGGTAGTGTTCTTATATTAAGATCAGAAGAGTTAAGAAGTGTCAATATTGAATAAAAAGCTATTTCATTTACTTCAAAATACTTAAAATTAAGTTGACTCTTACTAAAAGTAATATGAAGGAACGAAAACTTGTTTCTATCTTTGTAACACATTTTTGCCTCAGCTTTTATTTCCAATTATCTTACTAAGAATAGGTAAATATATCAACTTAAATTGCACGAAGTTTAAGAAGTTTCAAATCGGTATTATTATTTAAAAAAAAATAATTTTTTTTATTAACAGCTTTCATGGTAGCTACTCAGTTCTTCTTCACTGTATGTCTACTGACGATGATAGTGACCATGATATTAGTACTCCTGTTCTTCCTTTGCTGTGGACCCGATCAAGATCGATTCGTCCTTCTAATTAAAGTCATAGGCTACCTCCTGCTCGGAGCTGGCTTTTCAGGTGCCCTGGCTGTTATAATATTCGCCTGCCTGGGCAATGCTGATGGTTGGATGCCGGAGCATGCAAATAATTATTTAGGATGGTCCTTCGGTGTGGGCGTTGTCGGTTGTGTAGCTTGCATTTTGGCAGCAGCATTGTTTTTGGCAGAAGCACATGTCCAAAAACGAAAAGTCGAGTCTCTGAAGGACTCTCAGGCCAGATTCGAAATCGAACACGAAACGAAAGCATGAAGGTGATTATGGTATGACATGCGTTCAAATTAAGTAAATAGAACTGCAAAATTATATCCAATAATAGTATTTTATAAAAAAGCAACTCAATTGAATATTACGATATTATATAAACATAATTTAACAATTTTGGTATATATCTTATTTATGCCTGTACGTAGACGCCAATTTCAAATTATAGAGTGGAAAAAATGAAAAAAGTATGAACATTTAAAATAAAAATATTAGTAGGAAATAAGTAACATATTTTTCTCGCACTTCAAAAAGATGTTTTAAAATATAAAAAATTATTAGGATTATTATAATTTTTTTTAAGTTTTTATTGAAAATTAGATTATGATATTTAAAATGTATGAATTCTATTAATATAACATTCCAAATTTGAATATTCCCAAGATATATAAACTACTATAAAAATTGATGAAACGTAATTATTCAAACAAATATTTTGTGCCGTATAAATTATTATTAGTTATATGCAATCATATAATAAGATAATTATTATTATCTTAATTATTATTACTATTAGATATCAGTATAAATTATCATTTAAGTGGTGCCTTGATTAGGAGTGTATATAGTATATGATTTGAAGTGGAAGTAACATATTTCAAAAACTCTACTATGAATATAGCTTGAATTAAATTTTTAACTTTACTATGAAAAAATTTTATATTACATAGAACCTAAAAATCACGTATAATAATTATTTATGGTATTACCATGCTATACAATTAGGTCATTACGTTTAAATACAATAACTTTCCATTAATTTTGCTCTCGAAACAAATGTTCCGAATAAATACCAAATTTAGAGAAGTGTGTTACAGTTATACCACGCATTTTTCTAAATCGTTTAATGTTCCAGAATTTATTAAATCGAAATGTTACATATTAGTGTAAAACTGCTTATTATGAATTAAATAAGAGTGTTTTTGACAAGTCTATAAATTTTAGTTGAATAACAACTAATAAATTAAAATGGCTTTGAAAAAATCAAGAGGTGAATTGTAAAAAGGACAACTTATTTTCAAAACGTTGTTTCAAATATTACCTATTTCACAACTATAAAAATAATTATCTCAACGATCACATCGTATTTCAATAGAAATGTATTTACAACTTCTTCTTGGCCTTTCACAAATTTAAATGGGGTAGGGTGGGGCAGAAATATCGAATGATTTTTAGTAATTATACTGTCTAAAACCAAATTAAAACTATAACAGAAAATATACTATGTGAACAAACAATTCTCTATGTTGAATAAAATTCCCAGTTAACTCCTAATTATAGAAATATGTTTTTTTGCTATTTTTCTAAAATTTGTCTTCCATTTCTTGTTACACCATAGTCTGGATAAAAAGGGACAGTCTTTGGGAAAACAGATACAATAGCTTATTTTAAATTTTTTGCAATGATAACACTGTATATAATTACGATTCCGATTATGATCTGGTATTTTGTCAGAAGTATTCATCAGCAGGAGTTGGAACAACTATTAATTTAATATATCTCTTGTAAAATTGCTTTTTTTAACTATTTTCTTAATATATTTTATTTACTATTATCTTACGTTTACACCTTTGCCAGTGTGAAGGTTTAGTTAGTTCTTTTTACTCCAACCACGTGTAAAATTTTACAAGTATACATTTTATAAAACGTATTAATAACGCATGCTTTCAGTTAACATCAAAAACTAAATAAAAGAGCTCAAGTCGAAACCAACAAGCCTACTAACAAAATATTTTTGTTATGAATATTGATATATGACCGTTCATCTCCTGATAGCGACGTCGTATGAATTATTATAATGATGGCAGATTACACAATTTTTGCCTAATACTTTAAAATAGTATTGTTAAAAAATTCTAAACTTAACATGTTTTCGAAAAGATGTTGGGTCACCATTTTATCCGCGGACCTTTGAACCCCGCTTTACCCTAATACATTATCTTCTTATAATAGCGTGCCCAAAATATGTCCTTTTGAAGGCACCAGGACATCTTTAATACCTCTATCTACTTAAATTATAACCCATCGTAATATTTTTTTTATCTATTTACATAAAAATATTTAGTAATTTGTTGAGAATTGTTATAAAAAATATCCTAACAATTCGCACAAATAATCCGTCTAAAACACGGAACAAATGTTAAAAGAATGTGTTCATATTATATAAAAAATCTATAACTCATAATATTAAATAACGTACAATCACAGTATTTAATTTAAGTATTAATGTTAATAATAAGTTAAGTTAAGTTAAGTTTTAATAACATTTTGAATACAAGTATCATTAGTGTTAAGTAATGATGTAAAATTGCAATTAAAAGTATAAGTGATATATTGTTTATGTGTTTCATAAAAAATATAATAATGATGATACATTAACTAGTATTGTTTAATTAACCAAAAGTACATTAAAAAAATTAGAAAAAAATATTAATCAATAATATTTCGAATAAAATTTGAAATTATATTAATTGGTAACTAATCAATTGTTTTCTAAAATAATAATAATATATTATAGTACTAATTGTATGTTTCTTGTAACGTTGATATTTTAAATAATTTTTGAATGCTTCTATTACTACTTCAGTATACTTTGGGTGAAAATTAGGCGCATTTTTTAATTATAACAAAAATCACTTAATAAATTAGAAATATTTTGAACTACTTAATTGAGTTGAATAGATTAGTACATTTTATAATTAATTTGTTAATATTAAGCAATATTACTAATATTTAAACATGTATGTGCTTAAGTTAAGTAGCTGTTAGGTCATAAGTTTATGAGCCTTGATGTATACATTCCGTCCATTAATTTTAAGAATATTTATTGTTATATACTAACATGAATTGTAGTATATACTATTTATAAGAACTTAATTATAAAATTGAATTTATTTAGAAGTAAGTTTATATAGATATGATGAACCAAACCTAAGCTATTATTAAAAAACAGTTTTAGGTGAAGATATTTAGAATATATTTGAATTGAAAAGTTAGTAAATTCTTATTGACTCTGCCTTATTTATTTTACAAAAATATTCTATTTTTTTAAAACTTGATATATTTAGAAAATTCTAACTATAACGGTATTTCACCGTATTTTAAAGTATTAGAGCTCGTTTCCGATTTTTAATATTTTATATGGCATATCAATTATTATATTTGAAAAATTACATTTGATATTTAGTAATAAATTTTTTTGCAAGATCAGACAAAAAGTATATGAATATTTTACTCAATAACTAGGTAATTTGCCTGAATTATTATATAACTGTGTACATAAACATTTATTATTTTAGTTTATCTAAGAAATTTCAAATATATAGATAATGAAATAGTATTTATATAAATAGATTAAGTTAGTATAAGTTTATACTATAAATTAAAAATAGCAACTAAATAATATAAATCACAACCAAACTAGTGGTCTAAAATGCTGCCTTTTGTAAGATAATACGAAAATCTAAGCCTTAATGTACCAATGATATCTATTTTCAAATTTATGAAAAGTTGTTTTAATAAATATTAATTTTTATTACCTATCAATATAAATAAAATATATTTGCAATATATGTATAGTATATGTAAAATGTATAAATAAAATAAAATATGAAAACCAAAAATAGTTATCAATTATATATGAAATTCATTATTTGTGATTAAAGCCTATTTCAATTATTAGTCTGAGTTTAATAAGTATACTTATTAAACTTATAAGAGATAAATTTCCATTTGATGAAATGAAACGGTTGAACAATATAAACATACTTATAGTTATAACAATCAGTTTAAATTATCAAACAAAATTATTAATAAATTAACATGATTATTAATTTTTTAGTAGTTTTAGAAAGAGATTTTTAGATTAGAATTTCAAATTGGTGAAATAGGACATTTGTGCAATCAATCTTTTCACAATATTGATGTTATAAGTTGATTCTTATTAACTTCCCGTAGGGTAAGTTATATATAACTTACCCTTACTATAGTAATCCCAAAAAATATGAAAATAAAAATATTTGCATATCTTTACTTTTCAAAGGTTTTGCTCAGGATTTTATTGGCATACCATAGAAAAAATTGATGTATGTGTGTGCGTGTGCTCGGATACAAATTTTCGTCGACGATTTCGGGAACACGGATCAACCGCTTTGGATCATTCAAACAAACATTCGATTCCTTTTGATAAGGAGACGTGCTGATTACTTTTTGGCAAAACCGGGTTCAGCCGCTTCAGAGATACGGGGCAAAAAATACCAAAAAAAAGCAATTCAGTTTTTGGGAGAACGAAGCGTCTGATTTGAATGATTCAGAAAACGTTTTATTTGTATTAACGAAATAAAGAACTGATTAAATATTTGGGAAGGTAGATCTAGTGGTGTCGGAGATCCAATGAAAAAAAGAATGCTATTTGTCGGTCAAAAATGATCTTTAGACATCAAATTTTCAAATATGTTATAGAGATTTTAATAAGAGTTAGTAATAGTAATAAGTTCCGTACCAATGTTCATTCGTTAGACTGCGACGCGGCGCTTACGCGCTTTATCTTGCGATTAATAGAATGTTTTTTGTGTTATTTACATACTAAATAAGTAATTTGTTAGCCAAATTCTCCAGGTTATAATTATTGTTTAAAATTCTAATCCACTTAGGTAGCCCTCCATGAAAGTAAGTAGGCATGTGGTATGCAATAAAAGTATACTCTGTTATAAATATTTTTAAGCTACTTTCATTAGCTTAGCTACATTTTCATTACACTCTATTATCTATATTAACTTTCCTTAGGGTAAGTTGAAGTAATCGCAAAAAAATCGAAAATAATTTTTTTAATATATTTCAAAGATTTATGTTTCAAAGGTTTTTGAACAGTTTGGCATACCTTAGAGAAAATGGAAGTATGTGCGTGTGTGTGTGCGGATACAAATTTTCGTCGACGATTTCGGGAACACGTGTTCGGTACCGATCAACCGATTTGTATAATTCAAAAAACATTCGATTCGTATTGATAACGAGATGTGCTAATTAGTTTTTGGTGAAGACAGGACATTTTACTTGTACTGACAAGATCAAGAACTGATTAAATTTTTGGGACGGCAGGACCAGCGGTTATGGACTTTCATTAAAAAATATGGTTGAAAAAATGTCATTTAGCGGTTAAAAGTGTTTATTGGACATATGTACATCAAATTATAATATATTTTATAGGGTTTTTAATAATGTGTGCACATTTTGTGTAAATTTTTTTGGGTTTCGTACCAAGATTTTTTTATTACGGCACGGCAAGTTCCAGCAATTTGCCTTAAGGCACGATGCCATGCATCCCTCTAGTTAAATATACGACCTACCACATCACAAATTTAAATAAAACCTTTATTTATACTTATAATTTATAATGTTGCACGTGGCAGCCCATTCGAATGATTTGAAATTCGCGGCAAAATACATAACTAGCGTAGAGAAGATAATAATAAAAAGCAACAATTTAATAGCATTTGTTTATGTTATATGATTTAAATATTTGCTACAGTTTATAAAAAAGTTTGTAAAACGGTTTTTATATGATCATAAAAATATTCTAAACGTGTTCTGTGCTTTTATGATCTAATTAAGCTTTTGACAGTTTTGACATAGAGAAAAGCCCTCTTGTTGAAAGGTGTGTCATATATTTACATAAAATTTGACGTGCGTGAGTAATGCACATAATATTTTGAATATTGTGTTTACAACATAACAAATTATATCTACAGCGTTATTTAACAAACGATGATTATAGATATATAAAATTGAATTACGAATAATTTTTGGACGAAGATATATTAATTAAAATGGGTATTTTAGCCACGAATAATGAATATCCCAAAGCTTCTAGTAAGTATAGAATTGTTTACATTCTTATTTTGAAAAGAAAACAAACAGTTTATTTATTTAAGAGTATAGAGATTTAATCCTGTTTCATTTGCTTATTCATATTTTTTGCTAATTTAGTAACTTCTTACAGTGTACCTATTGATTAGTTTTAATTAAATTGTATCATATGTGTTATATGCAATCAGTCTCTATATGCAAAAGTCTACTAAGAGCTTAGACTTATGTTTATTATTTATAAATGTAACAAAAGTTTTTTCATAATATTTAATAGTATTTCATAATAGTATAAAAGAATGATTAAAATATGAGAAATTCTTCTGAATAGTAATAGGTTAACTATTATGTTTATCGAAAGTGGGTCACAAATAAATAATTATATTTATGTATATATATATATATATATATATATATATATATATATGCTCATTATACTCTATCTCTAGACTCGGTTGTTATCGGAGGAATACTAACATATGTAGCTGGTATGTTCCTCCTTATGGCCTTTGCAAGCCCTTATTGGATTGAGTCATACGAGGAAACATTCAGCAGTTTCAAACGCATGGGCCTTTGGGAATATTGTTTCAATGAATTTCGTTATCCGTATTATCAATTTGACAAAACTTTTGATGGATGCCACTATATTTTCAGCGAGGTAATCACTGATATGATGCAATAATACAAAAATTTTTATTTATTTACTAAATTATTCATTCTTTTTAGCAATTTTATGTTATTAGAGAATGGTTATTACCAGGATGGTTGATGTCAGTTCAAGCTTTTGTAACACTGTCTTTTATGTTGAGTTTTGGTTGCCAAATATTAATCGCATTACAGCTGATCAGATGGCCCTTAGATACTGTCTTACGTTATGAATGGATTATGTCAGGTTTATCATTTCTTGGAACTGCAACAGCATGTAAGTGAATTTATATTTAAGGTTTTTTATCTATTCAATAAAATAGATAAATTTAATAATACAGTTTTGAAATTCCAAAGACCATTTCACACAGCAGTGCCTGAAATGGTCTATTTTCAATTGGAAAGATATTTTTGATCTACATTTTTAAGTGAAAATTGATATCAATAATATATAGCACATATATTAAATTGGAAATATGAATAAACTGCACTCTTTTTCACAATTAATTAAATAATCTTTATGTTACAAAATATTTTGAGACCAGTTTGTCTCTTCATCAGTGTAATTTATAAATGCTATTAATTTTATATCCATATTTTAATAAGTATATATACAGTAGAATATCGTTTATCTGGCCTTCAGTTGTACAAATTTGCTAATATCCGTATAATTTATATGTATTTATATACCTGCAAATCAACTGGGAAAACTTGCTTAACTCAAATGACAATTATCAAATATTTTACACCAAATTGAACTTATTACCTACTTATTTCATGATTGCCAAATGCAATTTACCATATACATATTGTAAGCAAAACATACATACCCAATTATTTTATTTCATGATTAATGCTGCAGTTTAGTATTATGTATTTAATCTAATCTAGGAAAATATGTATGTACAGACATAATTGTTAATTTCTTATTGATAACTATGTATTTGTTTGAGTCATACGATTGTTGTTGTTTTAAATAAACACATAACATTATCTTCATACATTTTATTATCCAGATTTTCGATTATATGAAAGCCTATCAACACAAATGGTCCGGTTAATCGAGTTTCTACTGTATTATAAATTACATTGACAATGAGAAAAACCTAATCTGAAAACACTTGGAACTTTAAAATAATTTATTAAATAGTGCAAAAAGGAGTACTGTGTGTTCATATTTCCAATTTAATAATATTCTTTCCAATCATAATACTTTTGATTTATGTATACATGTGTATGTTTATGCATATGTGTAATTTAGTCTTTACAATTATTATAATTAATCAATATTAAGAAAACACATAAAGTTTATAACATCACATTAGCTAAGTTTTATATAAATGAACATAAATTTATCTATTTTAGCCTTTATGATGTTTCTGGCCGTTGCTATTTTTGGAGGCAATTGTTATCGAAGAGATTGGTTGATGTATCCCAGTTTCAATGTTCTTTCATGGTCCTATGCTTTTGCTGTGATTTCATTTCTAATTCATGCATTAGCAGCTTTATTTTTCTATGCTGAGGCTAAGAAGAGTTATGAAATGAGACGTGAAGCTAAAAATCTTGTTATGCAAATGCATGAACACAAACATGATCAGAGGGAATATTCTTAAATAATCTGTTAATAGCAAAAGGTATTGACAAGAGTAGTAATACGTTTAGTTTATGTATAGACTTGCTTATAATATTTTCACTTAATGGATTAATGTTTACACATGTAATCTTTGTTGATTTCATGTGAAAGCTTAAAAAGTGGCCTGTAAAACTATATATTTTTTAAAGTGTATTTACATAAGAAGACATAAGTTGATAATTGATTAATAATCCAATTATTTGACGTACTGTATTTTTCAGTCTAAGAGATGAAGGACATGCCTTAAATAATATTTATAATGAGCTTATCAAACTAATCTTACTCTGGCAATCAACGTCAAGCAAAAAAAAAAAACATTCCATTCATTTAACTCACGCAACATTTAACCAGCATTAATTTAGAATTTTGAATCTCAATTATTTGTTAATGATATTAGCATTATATTAAAGTTTCATATGTATGGAAAACATGAATTAGAAAATTAATATAGAATCATGCTAAATGATCTTGAGATTATAATCTCTTATTTTTCTATTATAAAAATTTGATTTATATAACTAAGCTCTAAAATTGCCTTAAAATATTTAAAATCTTATTTGGGAAAGGTTATATATTTTTCTAATGAAAATTTTTCACATATTTTTATAGATGTATAGTAAACTTGATTTTAGCAAAATGTTATGGAATGTGTTCATTAAATTTAATGTATAAATTTTATGAATAAATGATCTTAAAAGTGAATGATTTTACCATATCATAGTATCATATAATTCTTGAAATTAAAACTAATCATAAATATATAATATTTTATTTATATTTATTTTTATGATTAATCCATATCATTAATAGATTGTTATTTATGTGTTAAATTTAATAAAAGACTAAAAATCATTCTAATTTTGAGATTGATCTGAAATTGAAATGTGCAATAACTTACCATTCCAAGTTTATAAAAGTTATAAATTACTACAATTCCGTCCTTTTATTAAGTATTTTATTGAGACCTGGTTTCATACTTAAAATTGTACTCAATTTGATTTAGTTTAATAATTTTGTTGTATTATTTTAGTTATATAAATATTTTTAATCTATTAAATTTAATTGTAATAAATGTAATACGTTATAACCAAATAAACTTAATATAAATTGCTATTTGCTTATTGTTAACTCATTTAAGATTTAAGTTAATTTTTAGTAACTACTTATTACAAAAACTTTTACAACTATTATTTTAATAATCATAGCCAATCATGAAGGTAATTGATTATGTTTTTTTCTAAGTTCCCCTTTTAAAAAAAAATTCTAGATACCTTTCTGATATTTCGTTATAACTTCATAGCACTTATATATTAAATCTCATGATAAGTAGTTCGTTTGGAATAACTTTGTTCATATCGACCTTCTTCTTATTGCAACAAAAACGATTTAGGTGAAACTGCGCCTAGAAACTACGATTTAAGTGAACTGCGCCTTACTACATAAAAAGATTAAATTTCAATTATTCCATATAATATATTTTACTAATCCATAAAATACGACAATCGTTTACAACTCGAAGACCGCATTGAAAATCAAATTTTACACGTGGCGGCTACACCAAAAATCTTCAATTTTGATTGATTACGTCTGGTTACAAGAACCACCTTGCTGATAGAGCATATTTGTAACTACAAAGATGCGGGATCTCTACAGTCGTGGAGATAACTATAGTATAATTTTACGAGTTTAATAATTATTCATTATATTATAAAATTCAATTATTTTGTATATTGTACTATAATTTTAGGAAATAAAGTTTTTTTAATTTTATCCTCGATAACCGAGTATAAAATTCTTTGTCAACTTGATGATTGGTAAATGGACTGTTGCATTCAGGGCAACGCCGAGGGGGCGCCATTACACATAGTTTTTATATAATTTCAATGACAAACTGTAAAAACTGTTAAAAAAGAGGAAAGGGAGCACCAAGAAAAGAAAAGGCATGCGGTCGCTGAGGACCCTTGGACCACTCCTGGTTGCATTAAATATGCCAATCAGTAATTCTGAAAAAACGTTCTAAAAAGATTTTATCCACGAGTGTTTATCAAAGCTTGACCATACATCTTGGCAATTCGATAGGTAAGGTGGCAACTTGAGAATCTTTATAATCAAATTATTTAATTAAATTTGTTTAAATACAATACTATGAAAATTGCTAACAAATTTAACAAAAACTAGTAGTGTATGGCATCGCGCCTTGAGGCAAATTGCTGGAACTATCCGTACCGAAAATAAAAGAAAATTTTAAATTTTTCTGAAAATTGTATTGAAACTTGAATATCGGGTGAACATAAAATTAGTTAAACGGATATTTAGCGAAAAACTTTTATTTCGGTAGTTTAAAAATGTGAATTAATTTGGAAGTTAAAAAATATGAATTAATTGCGTTCGCCGAAGACAAATTTTGGCTCGAGCTTTACACGCATTGAAAATAATATGAAAAACATTCACTGACATACCTGGTTTTCCAAATCTATGAGCTGTTTTGATCACATACTCCATTGTGCTTAAAGGAATGTTACTGTCCAAGATGACTAACTGTGCATTCTCAAAAACTTTTTCATGCTGCTTAATCTGTGTAGAAAGAAAACAGGTGTTATGTTTAATTGATTTAAAATTATTTAAATCATTTATATATTTAAATTAATTTAATGGAAAGGTCTATGCATTTAGTTTAAAAAATATTATTGTTATTTTTTAAATTCTATATTTTTTATATAGTGTTTTCATATAGCATTTTTTATATAGTATTTTTATAGAGTTTATACTTCTTGTAGGGTAAGAAATTGAAAATTTTTGCATTTCTTCACGTTTTGAAGGTTTCTGAATATTTTCGCATATCTCAGAAAAATGGATGTGTATATGTGTGTATGCATATGTGTGTTTTGTGTTCGCATTTTTTCGTGCACGTTTTTGGGCGTACAGACCAACCGATTTGAATGGTTCAAGTAACATTCGATTCCTATTGATAGAGAGATGTGCTGATTAGTTTTATCGCAGGTCCCTCAGCACTTCGGTAGCAAATGTGTCTAAGACGTTTTACGCAGCCTCAGTTGCCAACAACACTTATACTATCTGGAAAAAATTCTTTGGCTTGATATCTCTTCTACACCGCCCGTATTGCAATAAATGGTACACAAAAAATTCGTGTTCAGCATCTTCGATTTCGCCCAAACAATATGGGCAATTCGGCGATCTATCGTGCTGAAGTGTTGTAGATAGATTATTACCTTCTCTAATGATTAACTTCTCTATGCTTGCGATTTAGCCAGACTGTGATATTAGGAATGTGACAATGCATCCACCTGCCCTTCACTGAGACATCCCACTGTTGCTGCCATTGGTCAATGCTGTTCTGCTGTTCTGCCGTTTTCCTATTCTCAAATTTTTAGGACTCAGTTTTTAATTTCTTCGTTGGTAAATTGTCTGCCTTTACTCTGCTAGACTATGAGAGGCAAAGTCCCTGAAATGACGCAAACTACATTCTTCGATATCGCGCAAAATACGCAAGATATAGATCCTGCCATTCTCCGTGGTTTTTTGAGTCTTGAGAGCATCAGCCCATATGGAGAAAACAATATCAGCACGAAGAAGAGTAACCACTGATTGTAGTAATTCCGCTTTGTTTTCGGCCTTCAATAATAGGTTCAAGTTCACAAGTTCGTTCTATCTTCTGACGCATGAGCACTAACGTGTTCCATCTGTTGATTGAAATTTAATAGAGAATCGAGCATTATTTTTAGGTAACAAATGTTTTCCCAACAACCGAACCAAAAGCAATTTCTGCAGTTTTTCCCCCGTATCTTCTAAACATCTGGAATTCTCTTTGCCACAAACTAATCAGCACGTTTTCCTGCCAATAAGAATCGAATACTTTTTGAAACATTCAAATCGGTTGATCCGTGATCCCGAAAACATGTCCGACCTTGGGAAACGGACAGACACCACCAAAGCTGTTATTTGGTCCTGTGACAAATTTTGTTTCCAGAACGTCGTTAACAATAGCAACGTTGAATTTGTAGCAGCATCGTTAGATGGCATACATTTATACAGCTGTTACGTTCCACCTAGTCTTACTATGCCAGATTTTGTTGATTTCTTAGATCGTCTAGTAGAGGATACGAAACAATATCACTCCGTAGCGATAGCCGGTGACTTCAACGCTTGGGCGGTAGACTGGGGAAGTAGGAAAACTAATGCAAGTGAGGTAAAGCACTTTTAGAGGCCTTTACTGCACTTGATGTGGTTTTACTAAATAGCGGTGATAACCCAATCTTTGTCAAGGAAAATGCAAGTTCAATAATACACCTTACTTTTGTTAGCAATAGCATAATCAGAGAAAATTGCAATTGGAATGTATTAGATATCTGTACTGCTAATGACCACAATTCAATCATTTGAGAAATATCAACGAATAGAAGGCATGTGAAGTTATCTCAAGCCATTGGATAAATAATAAAATCTTTTCATGAATAAGCCATGAGAGTAGCCTTAAATTGCAAAACCTATTACTTCAGAGTACGCTGAGGAACATACTAAATAGCTGATGCAGAGAGTAACAGAAGCCTATGATGTCAGTATGATTGTTAAGCATGACATAAATCAAATACAATTTGTGCACTGGCGAAATGAAGAAGAAACCAGCTCTCTTCGTAAAGAGTGTCATAGAAAAGAAGGGTCTCTCAGCGAGGTTATAGTCTCATAAATTCTACACAGCTGAAAGTGGAATAGAAACAGGCACGTCAGCTACTAAATAATGCTATCAAAGATAGTAAAGTTAGGTGCTGGAAAGAAATTCTGGATGAAGTCGAGAAAAAACCCATGGGGAAGGTCTTATAAAATTGCATTTCTCGCCTCAAAAGCCAGCAATGGCTTTAATGCTAAAATTCATTCCCCCCACTACGAAAAATTGACAGAAATTATTCTAATCATCATAGAATACAGCTGATAGAGAAATATTATTTATAGAATTACTGATTAATCACAAATAATATATTACACAGTTAACATTTATTTTTATGAAAATGCTTTAACACAAATATATAAGAATTAGGTTTATTTTTTTTTCAGTTGACAACTTGATTAACTCCACAAGTCATATCAAATCTTTAACTTGAATTATAATTATTTACACACTATTTACTGTAATTAACCTTATATACCGTCACATGTAAGCTATATATGTATTTATACGTTCTACATTATATTTTCCAACTTATATTATTACAGCAATCGCTTTTCTCCACTTTGAGTTAGTCACTGTGTGCACTGAACGGCTCATATATACCCATCCAATATGCCCATTCAGTATACAATGTCTCTTTACAGCTGACAATTGTAAATTCCCCAAATTTATTAGATGTCCTTAAAAGAGGATAAAACTAGCGGGGTGGGTGGCATCGTGCCTCAAGGCAAATTGCTGGAACTTCCCGTACCGTAACGAAATGTTCGAGGAATACTGAATGTTTTCAAATAGATTCTTATAAATATTGTAACATTGTCTAATATTTATAAGAATTATATAAACTGAGTTGCAAAGTTGAAATTATTTGTAAAGTATATTAGAACTGTAGTCAGAATTAAAAATAAAATCTGAATTATTTTCGATATACAAAAATTAAAAAAAAAAATAAAAAAAAATTTTAAAAAAAGTTGAAACAATTTTTTTTTTTCCAAAATCAATTATTTTGTTAAGACAAGCATAAAGTTCTTGGAATCAATTAAATCGGACGCTTAGTTCTCTCAAAAACTGCCATTTTTTGTACATTTAGCTTCGTATCTTCAAAATGGCCGGGCCTGCCTTTGCGAAAAATTAACAACCACTTCTCCCAATCATTACTAATTGAATGTTTTTTAGATAATTCAAATCGGATGCTCCGTTCTTTCAAAAACTCGATTTCTATGTTCTACACTCTTTGCTCTTTATCTCCGTAACTGCTGGACCTGCTTTTGCCAAAAACTAATCAGCACATCTCCTTATCAATAGGATCGAATGTTTTTGAACCATTCAAATCGGTTGATTCGTACGCCCGAAAACGTGGACGAAAAATTGTATCCATACATGCATACACACACACACATATCCATTTTTTCTGAAGTATGCCAGAATGTTCAGAAACCTTCAAAACGTCGAGAAATGTAAAACTTTTCAATTCCGATTTTCGGCCCATTACAATAACTTACGGGAAGTTAAAAAGTGTTCAGAAACCTCTGGAACGTAAAGATATGCAAAACTTTTCATTTTTGATTTTTGGACTTACCCCACGCGGAGGTAATTATACAAATTAATTAAAATTTGGAATAAGAAGTTGCAATTTTAGAACATACAAACACACGTGTCTGTGCACTATTAATAATATAATTACTGATAATTTAATTGTGCTTGAGATATATCAATTTGAAATAGCAATGTTTAGAATTAATTGTAAGAGAAAACGTTATTTTCTAAATAAACAATTGAAAATTACATCTAAATATCTAAATCTTAATTTCGGCTGAGTCAATTACTATGCAACTTGTCTTAAGGCAAAATGCCATTTTCAACTAGTTAATTTACAACTACTTTCAACTAGTTATTTCAACTAGTTTATTATACAGATCAAAACTATATTGTCTTTTTCTTGCCACATAATAAAAATCCGGAATTCTCTATATATTAATAACACATATTGTTTTGCAATTTCAATGAATGTTAGTATTATTACCATAATAGACGTTCATGTGAAAGCATTCGAAATATAAACTTGCAACTTTCCATAACTAACGATTTGCAGGTCTATGCGGATATCGACAACTATGGACAGCTCTAGTAAATAGTAAATAGTCGACCATAAGTGGGGAAGAGATAAAGATCATCACAACACAGAGTACAATAGTTCTGCATTGAATTTTGAGCATTGTTGTTAATATATTCAGTAGTGTCCTTTATAAATATCTCGTATTAAAATTATATTTGATAATAACTAAGTACCTTCC